TTCTATTTAATTTACATTTTAGCCATAAGGGCTTCACACTACGTTCTTTTGCGATGCTTCTCGGGAGGCTATTTGTTAACCTGTTTTTCGCCTGGGAAACAGCATGACATAAGGCAGCTGCGGCGGCGGTGTTCACAACGAAATCCGCCCGAAACCTCCACAAGCGGAGCGGAGCCGCGAGGGGGGGGGCGGGGGGAGGGGCGCGGTGAAAGTGGGGTCGCGCGATTCGAGACCGCTAGAACGATGTGTGGCCGCCCGCACCGTCCGGCGACAAGGGCCTTCGCGCATTCCTTTCTGCGCGTCGGCCCTCAGATTCAAGTGCCGGCTGTGATGGCTCAGTGGCAGCACTGTATATGCAGCGTCACTGATCGGGAGGTTTGAGGGTTCCTGTCTCGGTGTCAGATTTTGGTGACTTGTTAAGATAGTCTAATAGAATTCATTCACTCTCTGGGCGAGAATTCTATTCTTCCGTAGTAACTGGCTGTTCTGATCGGTATTTTCCCGTGATTTCTCTTTTCAAAACCGGATGAATGGCGGAGTAGTATTCTAACAAATGGGACACGGGCCGCGAGCGAACATTTCTTCCTTAACATTATCTCCTCCTCCCCCTTACATGTACACACACTTGCGTGCACCACCTCTCACGTCGGAAGCTAAAGAGCTTGTTCCGTTTGGGAAGATGCCCCGCCGGGAGATATATCCGAATAGGTAAAATCCGACCTGTAGAACAGCGCCAGATCCCACATTCCAGAGGCAGCGGAGCTGAGCCACCTCCCAGCACGGGACTAATGACCATAGTAGTTGACGAGCTGAGAAACATCGATCGGACCAGGCGGGAGCTCAGCACGTTTTGGATCTTTTACCCATCATGAACTTTATCCCACAATGTTACCCGGTGTAATAATACGTGTAACATATACTGAATATTGTCGAAGAACAATAAAAGTGCATGTTAAAAATTGTCATTTTGCAGAACAGCTTTATTAATGCCGTTAATTTCGCGCCCAGAAACACAATGATACTCTACCTACTGGATGTCTTGTAAACTATCTTAGTAACCCTTTCCTACCAAAAAAAATACTATTTTCAAAAACTACACTATTTCTTCATTTACTTAAATGACGATTTTCAGTGTAGTGGGCGCAAAGATAAGCAATACTTCTCAAAACTAGTCATTTTGCACGAGAAAGATTAATGTGAATGGAGCCGATCAATTCGCGTCGAAAGACATCGATTTGTTCCCTACACCAAAAATCACTTTTTTTGTTATGCGTCAGTCTTTTGTATGTATATATATATATATATATATATATATATATATATATATATATATATATATATATATATATGCATATGTATCTCTACTTCTGATACATAACTGTGTGTAACATGTGTGTGTGTGTGTGTGTGTGAGTGTATGTGTTACTCATTTCCTATGCGCATTGAAATTGAAAGTTAACTACGCAGCCTCCGACCATGTGAGAGAGGTCTACGGATTCGTTAAGATACTTAGGACCTCGGGAAGGATACAAAAACAATGAAACAGTTCGATTATTCTGGTTCCATTCCGATTATTTTGGTTTTATTCAGCAGCATATTTACTGCTCGAGGCCATTAGCACGATTGAAATAGGCCATTAGCACGCAAAAAGTAGATATATTTTCTATAAAAACTCATTTTATTCGACAATAATCTGTAAATTTCAATGTGTATAGTATCTGCGCCAATATGTTTAAACAGGTCTGGTAAGAGCGTAAATTATCACTGCCAAACGTCTGATCATCTTGTAGTTAGTAGTGGATTGTAGTGGATTTCGTTACAACGTAATCTTCTACTCTTTATACATTAAAACTAATACGAATGGAAGCGAAAATAATAATGTGTTAATGTTAATTTCATTTCAATTTAGATTGAAGCGACTTTTTACTCATTTTAAACGTTTGTAACGTACACCATACATATAGCAAATCCAAGAATATTTAAACTACTTCAATGGTTGGGAAAATAACATATCATACCAGAGAATTTGGCAAAGTGGTAACCAAGTCATATTTAAATTTTATTGTTATCTTTAAAGTGAATTTTTATTGTTTCCCCATTTAAATGCATTTTCCTCACAATCGTGAAGTGAAAGCTTAAGATCTACAACTTTACTGCATAAATAATGTGGCGCTTCCCTGTAATCTGTAGACTGCAAATTTAGTGAATGCGACTGTCTATCTCTACACGAGGGTCACTATTACTTATCATAAATAGCTATAGCTACGGTGTTTCTGGCGGAACGCGACAGTACTGCGTTCCAGTACCTCAGGAAACAAACAAAAGGAAAAGACAAACACTTAGCAACTTCGATTTTTAGTTCGACCAACTTTCGTTAACTCAAAATTAAATAATTTTCCACATAACTGTATATTTTTTTACAAATGTAAACAAATTAATAGAAAAAAGGATAAAATATCATTATAAACTCTAATTTTCTTTATTTCCTATTATCATTACATTCACATAGAGCCAATGCTATCACTCTTATTAATTGTTATTAAATATGATTTACACGTGTTAAATTATATTATAAATGTACAACTATTTCTATTAACTAATAATTCATTTGGGGACCTAAAATGTCTTAAATCAAGCACTGGGTACAGCTCATACATTTTCAAGATCTCTTTCCAAGTGTAAATGATGCCGTGCGGAAGCGGTATTCTTGTTTGAGTTCAAAGACAAGAACAAACTCCTCGCACGTACACATTTAACAGGTGAAAATGCAGCTCGTTACAGCCTTCCTGTTCAGAAACTCTTCCGAGGAACCATTGTGTCCTTGAAATAAACTACTAGCGCACTTGAAAAATATGCTTTGCAAGTGAAATAAAAACGTCCGTTATGAATCAAGCTAAATTGAGGAAGAAATACGCAAGGCTCGTTCACCTAATTCTTTATGATTAGAGCTGCGCGGCGAAATCTTCTGGTTTCCTTATTGGATCATCACCTCAAACACGTTTCCACTCACAGTTTATTTTTATTTAAAGCAGTCAACTTGAGTCATGCAATTCCCTATTATCAGTGATAGAGTCGGGGAAAAAAATTAACTACCAATTTACTCACACTCAGACTGAGAATTATGCAAGAGTATACCAAGGGGGAAAATGTACCGAACGGCGTCCCGATTCAACAAAGTTAGAGCGGTAGACTGAAGCCTAGTATACGGTACAACGTACGGAAGACAAACGGGCACTTCGCGTCGCTTCGGCGGCAACTGCGCAGTTTTAATTCTGGAGGCTTTTTGAAAAGTGCTTTCTTATAAAAGTGAATTCGTAATTGTGCGGTGGATAGACTCAAGGATGTGTATAGTGAACGCGAGGGCCGAAGTCCCGAGCCTCGCCGTGACTTGCGTCCGGGCGGGCGAAGCGAGAAAACTTGCCTTTGAAAGTAAATTGACATTACAATGCGATGGGCACAAAGCGTATGAAGGGCAAGACATGAAAATCGCCCATCCGTAATTTCTATCAGAGCGCGTAGAGTAATTTGAGGGAGGGGGACTTAAGAAGACCCCCCCTCCTTAACGCCTCGCTTCTCTGAGGGTGTACCGTGTACCTACTTTAACCGATCGGTGTCTTGCTTTCGCTAAATAGAGACGGGGTCAACCACCTCGCAGTGTCATGTTCATCTATGTTTCGTTCCTGCTGTAAAGGCCTATTGCGTCTAATTGTCACGACACTTCGGTCACTTGCAAAAACGTATTTAGGCAATGCATAAAAGGAACTAGAAAGAAGTCGTACAAACTGGCATTTACTTTCACTCGTAAATACATTCATTTGCATGGATGTTGCTTAACTGCTCCTGCTATTTCACCGCACGTCAAGACTCATTTTCGAAACCGCGGAAGATTCCAAGAGGCACAGTGTACTCGTGCAACGTAATTAGAAGAACAGGTCTCCGAATTTAAAATATCGTCACACCTCATTTGCAGCCCCTCGCAAGTTGTTTTGTTGATATCCCTCAAGGGCAAAGGTTCTAGTGTTCCCCCGTACGTGCTCAACTAGTGCGCACGTGCAGCGGCTTTCGAAAACAGAACTGTGATGAGGGCGAATTTTGGATACACGCACGCATGAACAGTACACATAAGTAAATTTACTTTGTTTAATGTTTACAAGATCGATAAAAATGAAAAGCTGTTAGAAATACAAAATGTATTTAATTAAATTAAACATACATTGCAATTTCTGAACATTTGGAAAAACAATTGGATGACTTTTTCCTTCAACTGAGACAACGCCAATATGTGTTGCCCGGAGAACCAAAACTTTTCCCAATAATTTTTTTCCGGCTGTGGTAAGTAAAAGCAGCTCAAACGTTATGTTCATACGCGTTCTGGAAACTAGCGTAATGTTATATTCTTAACAGTGTGCCTAAACAGCGTCGAGTGTTCTTAGATGTGCTGTTGCGGAAACTACAGGTTGCGATATTGCCTTGTTCTTGCCGCGCGAGTGGCTGACCTCTGATCACGAGGCACGTTCGTGTACGTGTTATTTGAAAGGAAAAAAACCGCACATATAAAACACTATTCTCTTAGCATTTAAATGCAAACAATGTGCCGAAATATGCAGCTCACGAAGCTTAAAGTTGTGTTCATAATTTGTCTTCACTTCCACTATTGTTTGGTGAACGTGCCACGTTAAAAAACTTTTGTTGATATGAAAGCCTATTTTCTCCAATTTCCAAATCTCCCGTTCACGAATTGACATTGTCCATACAACAACAGGATGCCCTCACTTTCCGCAACAACACCTTGTGTTTATAGATAGCACTGCATTGAACAGCACACCCCACACGGTACACGCACGTCGCATGAAAAAAAAATCGCAGTGTCTATTCTGACCAATTAACAACGTCGGGTGCACTCATTGATGACTCAAAAAACACAAATAATTCACACTTCCGCACTGTCCTCATTTCGAGCGACCCGCGTTGCGCCGCCCGGCGTCTGGGCGTCCTCCTACCTGGCTGAGGACTTGCATGGATGGGATCGGAGCGGTGGCGACGTCGGCGGCGGCGGCGCGACTGACGGACAGCGCGGCGCGCGGCGGCGGCGGCGGCGGCGGCGGCGGCGGCGGCGAGCGGGAGGCGGTAGGTAGGGGGTAGGCCGCGGAGAAGTGGATCAGCGAGCGCCTACCGTTAACCTCGCGGAGGCCGCGAATCGCCTGCGGAGAGACCTCGGCTTCGCGCACCGCCTCTGGGGGAAGGGGATTTCCCGCGAGAACGAAGGCTCTGACTGGGGTTTGTTTTTGTTGTTGTTTGGTTGGTTGGTTTGCGTTTCTCGCCGCCTCGTCGCTGCCGAACGAAGCGACGAGTGAAGACCTAGGCAATGCAGGAGAGATCTCTACATACGAAGTCTCTCCTCCCTACTTTACATACTTATGTGCAATTATATTACGAATTAGGTAAATAGGCCCGCCAAGGCAGACATTCACAGAAGAGAATCACACACCAAGTTTTCAACCGAGCAGTCAACCATCTCTGCAGAATGTCTGGAGACTTCTTCACATCGGGACCTAATGCTGGGCGCTTAGTTCACCAGCAATCATAACATAAGCATTCATTCACTATTTCAAATCGTAAATGTTTATATATCTTAGCCAACTACACATCCCATTAAGGGCAAGGGCTTCCTGCACGTGCAGGGTATTATTAAACCTTCTTTAATGAAGTGATTTAATGATGATGAAGGGTGAGGGAACGATTACAAATACATCCATGCCTCAGGCGAGATTCGTACCCGCAATCCTATCCGATATCACCACGACACTGCTGCCTTAGCGATCTCGGCTATCCGGATCGATACACACACACACACATACAGATATGAGCTGTTCAATGCAGACAGGGTACATTTTCACATTTCGGCTATTTTAATGTTATATTTGATATGCGTTTCTTTTAGCTTTTGCTTTCACTGTGCAAACACTTTTTTTTGTAGTTTATTACGTTCAGATACTGCAAATGTATCTGCAAAATAGTTACAAAATAAAATAATAATAATAATAATAATAATAATAATAATAATAATAATACTAATAATAATAATGTCTTATTGTGAATGTTTTTTTGCAACCGTTCATCCGATTACATTAAAACTTTATCAACTTATTGCTTGCACTTGTGCAAAGACTAGCCATTGTACAATGGGAATGTGCGTATGTCTGTCGCACATCGTATCGCGTTGATGATTTTATGCGATTATGCAGACTCAAGAGTCCCTGAACAGCGCTACGCAACCCATCACACCCTCAAGTATTAAGTGCGTCTTCGCTGCGTGCTCTGCCCCTGCGATTGTGAAATATCGGTCAGAATTATTACCTGAGTGTTATCTCGGACAAATAATTCAAATTTCTCGAAACCATTGGCATAGCAAATGCATGACCAACCTTGAGGAAGTAAGTTTCAATAATTGACAACCATGTCCAAACTAGGACATAGTACAACCCATAGTTCCGTAACTATTACAATTTTTGCAGCGCATAGCGTAAAAAGTGATCAATCACCAGAACAAGAAGCGTATCATGTGTCAAACATTGCCGGTCCACTAGTATGAGGGCTGTTTTGTTTTACAACCTCAGATCAAGCCTATAAACCGCAAGACAAGTGGGAGGTTTTAGGGATGTGCAGTGGACATTGTGCATCGTTGTTTACCATCACCTCTGCTAATGGCGACGCCGTGACGCCAATTTGAGCTAAACTAGACACGTGAAGAAGGTTGATGCGATTGACCCCCCACCAAATGCGAGCTGCTACAAATATTCGCTTTCTTCAAACAAATAAAAAAAGAGAGAGAATAGAGCAGCAACAATTCACGTCAGAATGTGTCGAGTACACGGTGTAAACTTCCAAACAAATGGGATGCTGTTTCTGTAGAAGTTCTCATTCACGATATCACCCGCCCTCATTGTGTTGCTGTCACCGAAGAAAATCAGGGACAGATGGGTCGTTCATCATTCACGCGTAACCCAATTTATGGGTGAGTGCTTTTCATCTCTTCCTCGAACCGAAGAATTGTGTAGACGACTAAACTTCCCAGACCGCTGAGAAGTTTCAAAGTAAAGTTCAGGCCTATCTCACCTCAGAGGCAGAAATGTTCAACCATGGGAATCGAAAAGCTTGTTCACAGATAACACTAATGTCTGAATCTTCCCAACGATCATGTAGGAAAGTAAGCATGTTTGTACACAACTTTTTGTAATAAATTATTTTTTTCTTTACGCTTGTCTTTTTGTTAAAGCCCATCGGAGGTTGAAGAAAAAACGGCCTTCATATTTAGGATATACAACGAAATTTGACTCATTCCAGAATTAAACGGTTCATATTATTAAAAATATGTGTGAAAGCAAAATCATCTTCGAAACATATTTCGGACTTTAGTGGAATATATTGCATGCTGATAGCCATTAGGTGGATACGGAAGACGAAGTACGTAGCGGTGACAAGGAATATCGTTTTAAACAGGCGGACAGAATGCTGATAAGCGGTTTCTAAGGCTAGTGAGAGACAAGGTACTAGTTTCGAGATTCACTGTCAACGGAAAATTTCTATCAACACGATGCCAACCGAACTCACATTTCTGAGTTGGCGATCGAATTCGACTTTCGAGATTTACATTACAACCTTGAGTCAGTGCAACGCTAATTTCCAACGCATTGTGTGCGAAAATACTTCTCGCCATTACACACGACGCCGCATACTCGACAATCACCGTGGGTATGCCAGCTCTCTGTGGCTAAAGCCAACTTTAGTTGAAGTTTGAAATCATCCGTTCACTGTCATTCACCGCCAGACCGTCTATTGTGCGAATTAACCGGCTACTCCTGGCGTCAGTTATATTTCGGATCCTAGCCGTAATAAAGTACGTATATTATATTTCGTGTAGCTACATGTATGAATAATATTCGCCGACCTGGATGGCCGAGGGGGCTAGAGCATGGGCCGACTCTGTGCCTCGGTTCGAAGGGTCGCGGGTTCGAGTACCGCCGTGGGCATGGTTGGTTGCCCCTTGTCTTTTCTGAATATGTGTTGTTGCGGAAGGCCTTGGGTGTCTGCTGTCCACAGCCGACCGAGGAGCTCGCAAGTGTTTAAGTGTCTAGTTTGAAGGTTAATGTGGTATGTGTCATCATGAGGGCGGGCACCCGGCACGGATAGTAGAAATCGGCACCCCCTGAAGCTATGAAAAGCCCCAAGAAGAAGAAAAAATTATGAACTATATTTCAAGGTAATTTGTATCCTAGTAAATACTATTATGACTCATTCAAAGGAAGTGTCGTTAAGCAGCATGATCTATCTAAATCCTTGTAAGCCTTGAACCTCCTGCTTTCTACTCCAACTCTGTGGTAGTGCAATTCAATAGTTTGCAGTTTACATTAAAATGGTATCTTCGTTATTTAGTTCATTTTCATAGTATGACAAAGTCCACATCTGCAGCTCTCACGAAAGGATGTTAATTAGAAAAAAGTATGTACATTATTTTAAAACACTTTGTCAAGGACATTTGACGATTAATATCGATACAAAAGTTTAAGTTGGAAGTAAAATATTTTTGCTGCACAACTGTTTCTATACAATTAGATACTATTCTTAGTATCAAAAAGGAAATTAATATTAATTTTAACAATCATATTTAATTAATTATTTACCATTTGGACTGTTTCATTCTAAACAACTTGTAACACGTATTGTACCTCACCTTCTAGGTTAATGACTGCCATCTCGATCAGGTTTTTAGTTCAGTTTCCCTGATCTCTTGAACAAATGCTGACATGACCCCATGTTTTGCTTCTGGGCAGAAATGTAACTCCATTAAATGTGCAATTCTAGAGATCGTGGGGAAATACAGTTATTAAAATTATGACTCGTTCACAATTGACAGAGGTATATTCCTTCCCGAAGGACATGATGAATGATAAGAACCCAAATCTATAGCTCATTTGCCTTTGAAATATATTTTATTATATCGGAGCTAATATTTTGTAACAATTCTCGCCAAAACACCCATTTCTTACTGTATTCCAAGTGTTAGGGGTTGGGATCCCAGAAATGTGCACAGATGCCCCGTAGCATGTCACGCGCAGTTTTTAACTATTTTTGGCGTAAAATAAATAAACGTATACTTTATTTATTTGCTTTGTCATCAGGGCAAATGAGATTTTTCGAGAACTGCCAATTGCGGGTTTCCGAGTCACTGGTTCACATCTTGTTTTGACCACAAAAGTTCGTCATAGGAGTTTTGGAAGTTGTAAATGATAAACGACTTTCGAACGCTGTGGCATCACGGTCTAGCTCAAAAGGTCGCAAGTAGTCGAGGTCGAATAGCCCTACGAGGGTTATTCAACATTTATCCAAAATTAAACGATATTTTCCACCTTGTAATAATGCAATGAACATAGTTATTAATATTTTCTGTTGTAATCCTCTAAGTAGAGATGCCGGTTTCGTTCGATTTATAAGATGGCAACACAAAAAGCTGCAAATATGCAATCTGCCGAAGAGTGCGTGCAATAGATGATGACAGATGGCGAAACCAGTACACATAGAGGGTGTCGTGTTCATCTTCTGATGGCCTCACTATTGTCCTGGATGTTTATTGCTAGATAGTTTGAGCGGCTTTAGAGACTTCTGCGGTATTCTGGGGTGCCTACTCTTCATTAATTATAGAATCTTCCTTTGCCTTGCCTATTAATTCATGGATTCGAAGATTTCGTCGAAAATTGACTTACTTAAGGGTATAAACTTATTTTCAAGCAATACAGATATCAGGAATACAAGAATCATAATTATCAGGGGTCAGATTAACAGCTCACTACAAGAAACCCACATATAATACGTCAACTTTACTTTACAACACACTTCTAGACGACATTAAACAATTAAAACCAATATACAAGATAAAGAGCCATGAAAAATATGTTCTATTTCGTAACTTAGACTATACACATTACACAATTAGACTATATTGACCATCAAAGAGGAAAATAAAATTTATTTTAGAAATGCATTTGATGAGTTAGTTAACATGTGTATTGTGTTATTTTAAAATTATGAACAAGTATGTAACAAGTAATGTACTTCCTTCAGTTTCTGGGTCAATGACCCTCATCTCTATCAGGTTTTTTCGTCCAGTTTCCGATTCACTGAGCAAATACTGAGATAACCCCTCGTTTGGTTCTGGACATAAATGTATACGCGC